GTTTTTTTTTATTTTTAGTATGGATTGTTATACTAATGTCCAAAAGTTGTTTATAGTAGAGTGTATTTGTGCTCCTAATTTCGTTAAGTACCACACACCTCCCAGTCAACGGCATCCATCTGGATATCCAACCGTAAAGGTAAGAACTTTCGCTTTCTAAAGAGTATACACTTTTTAACATTATTTACATATGTATTTTTCTCAAAGAAAGGTTATTTTATGAAAAAATTATGACTTTATTTTGTTTTTAATATTTTTTGCTTAAATATATAAACAAGCATATACATTTTGTATATCAACGGAAAGACAAATTAATTGGCTTTATTTTGACATCATTACCTTTTTAATCGGTTATAGTTTTAAATATCGAAAAATTTTATTTTTTATCTCTTTGCTTTTAAATTACGCCAAATAAAATAAAAAGTACTATCAATCTGTATTTTTAGTTTTTCCATAGCTCAACGATGACGTGTTCTGTCAACCAACTGGAGTGAATTTCCAACTGGGCCAATACATTACAAAAGTAAACATAAAAGAGAAGAAAAACTGAATACAGGGTGCAACGTGGTATGAGATAATAAACTATTTTCCACACAGGGTGCTTTTGATGATTAATTTTGTCATCACTGGGCTATTCTTTCGTGGAAAAAAAATTGTTTGATGATGCATTTTCGAACGGTCTCTTTTGCAGCTTTGCAGTTTATTGAGCATCCAGTTTTATAGCCCATTAAATTTTAGTATAAATTAATGAAATCTCCAAGTAGCAACATAAATAGCTTTTTCTGCACTAAAAACTGTAAGTTTTCCGATAGTGGAAACGAACCCTTTATTAAGCTGAAATTAGTCAAGAACGTAAACCTACCGGTACGTAAACCCGAGTCAGCTGACACGTTCTGTCTTACCAAAGCGCCATGTAAATGAAAACTCAACGCCGCAGAATTTTTCTGTAGTTGTAGCCCGTAGCGCAGAAATCTGCGGAATTTAGATTTTTCCGTGTCAGCTGATTTCTCCTTCTTTATATGGTTGCCACTTCGTCAGTTTTGCAGATGGTAAAAAAGTTATAAGTTCCTATTCAAAATATGTTTAAAATATTTGAAATTTACTATTAAATGAGGTTTTTGTTTAAAACTAAGTAGTTTATATTTAGCTACAATCTATTATAGCACGAAAAATTGTGGTTGAAAGGGTAAGTTTATGAAAAGGCATTGAAGAGTGGCAACAGTGTAGTAAGCAACACTGAGGGCTCCAGTAATCGACAAAATTCTGCGTATACAGACTGCGTTTAAGTACACGTTCTGCGTTCTCGACTAATTTCAGCTTTAGCTCTATTCGATACGATCTCGAGGGATGCCATACAAATTTTTTAATTTTGGTGCATACTTTATAATTGATTATGTGGGGCGCATTTTGATAAAACAAATTATCCCTAGTTAGACCATTTGCTCTTGAAAGCAATATTTTATTGGGTTCCCAAACAATATTTTAACTATTAAATAGGCATATATATACAGCTTACGATGTTGTTTTAACATAAGCTCAATAAAAATATACAATTCTTGGCGGGACTCATTATTTTGTAATCCAAAATAAATTTGACTTTAACTTAAGTGGTTTTATCAAAATGACAGAGATATGTTAATAAAATCCAATTTGATTAACAAATATTTACCTCCCAGTTGAGTAAAAGTATGTGTTATTAGGTTTGTTCGTCGAAAATCCAGCAAGAATTATCCAACACTCAAAATATCAGAGAGTAAGAAAAAATTCTCTCAAATTCTCTCTCATGTTGAGAAACTTGCAAATTTCTGCACGAACGCAAATTTGCAGGAATTTGCAAGTTTCGCTGCCAGCTGGCGTCCACGGTTGCATTTCAAACATAACAAATTTTTATAAAATTTTTAAAATTCTTTCGGATGGCCAAAAACAGGATATACATGTATATTTCTTGTTGTTCTGACTTTCTTTAACATACATTTCAATTTCTTCATCGTACTAGCTGTCGGGTTTCTTAAATCAACTCTGGTTGCAATTGCATTCCGATTGCGAATACCATTTTTTTCAGCCGAATTAAGTTCAAATCATTGGAATTAACTAAATTAATTATATCAACAATTATTTACTTCCTTTTTTCATAAAAAAATCGCTCGTGTTTATAAATTTTTAAATTTAACGAACTAATTTATTCAAATTATTGTAGACAAAAATGCAACCATGCGCCACAACCACATGTTTTCGTGTTTGCAAATTCTTGCTGGCAAAATTTTTTCCAGCAAGAATTTGCAACTTCTCTCCAAGAGAACTGTCACTTTGCTCTCACAATTTTTGAGTGTTGGATAATTTTTTGGTCGGCACGAACGCGATTTGGGCAAAAATCGTGATAATTCGTACAAATTCGTACAAATTTTTTGCTCGACGAACAAACCTATTATCTTGTGGATTAACTAATAACAAATGAAATAAACACTTGAATCAGCTGATTTCTAAATTCCGGGAAGGAAATGTGGGCACACTTATGTGAGAGCAATATTTTTTACTCTGGAATAAAGCTATTTGGATATATATGAGAGATTGACTTTTCTTACTCTCTACTTACCGAACAGACCCGGTAAGTGTGTGAAACAGAGCTACAGTTAAATTCTTTCGCACAGATGTCGCACTGGCGCCATAGTCCGATGCACTAAGTTTTTAAACCACAAGCATTGGATGCAAATCCAAGCAGTGTCGTGGAATAAACTAAAATAAAGTGGTTTTAGTTATATGAAATGTAAATAAAAACTATACACCAAAATATTAAAAGCAACAACAAACGACTTGAGGATGGCATTTTTGTGCCCTGTGCGCATGCGGCGCGATAAAAAGAAAGGTAACGTCTAATGACTACACCTCGATACTTATGTATATCTGAAACTATGACAAAAAATATATACATATATCTATTTGCGAATAAAACTATTTTCGATAAAAGATTGACAGAAACATGGTCCATGCATGTGATTTTACAATTTGTGCCCAAACCAAAATATATATATGTATATGTGCTTGTGTATGTAAAGAAAACAAAAGACTGAAGACACATACTCGCTTTGCTTAGTTAGACACAAAAACTAAATTAAATTGGGTTTTTTTCATACATATTTTGTCTTTATTTCCTTTTCAGCCACCAGTGCT